GATCAGAAATCTTTTAGTAAAACTTGTACAACAAAATATCAACCAACTCACATGCAATCAATAACAATACTAACCTTACAGCCTATCACTAAGCAAAATAATAACCTTATTCCAGACATCAGTAACCAATATTAAAGAATAAAGTAAGAGTAGTTAATATGCAGTTAACCTTATTCTTGACATACCTCTTCTGCTTCCAAAGAGACTCCAATTGTACCATTAACGTATGATAGGGAAACATCCATGTTGTAGATTGATAAATCAGGATAGACACATGACTTTCCATCTGAATATATGACTTCAACAGGTTCAATCTCAAACTTTCTTTCACAATATGCTGAAAATGCTGTCACCTAAAAGAATATAAGTTGATACCATCATCCACTGCTAAGTGAGAACCAAAAACTAGCAAATAAATGCATCATAAACTTCCAGCTTCTTACTATTGTGTTCAGAACAATCTTGGCCTTTGTCAAATCAGTAGCTGTACATTCTATGAAAACATTCTTTGTCTTCAAATTGATTGCTGAATGTGCACCATTAATAATGGGGGGTAAAGACAAAACAATTCTGCCAAAATAAACTTAATGTCACTCATCGAGGCAAAGCCATAATATAGTAATAAATGAATGAAAAGAAAAAAATTATCATACCTGTTGTGATCATATAAAACAGGAAACACCGGCGAGTTCTCTATTATGTGCAAAAACTTCTTCAGTTTCAAATCTGACTGCCAGAATACAGTGGTAAAATATGGATCAAGATACTTTACTTTCCTAATGTCATTCAAGAGTCATAATTACTAGGTCATACAAAACTAAGGAGATTGTGAACAAGGATGTGCATGAAACAGCTATTATTGCAATGGTTTCTAAATTGCTGATTCTAGTTTGGTCTAGACTAACTATAACACTTCCCCAGAAAGTGGGAAAATAAAGAAAAAAGAAGGAAAGAAGAACAAAGATCAAAAAGCACCCAGTTAAGAACTCACTCTGTAAAATTCAATGAGCTCATCAGCTCTAAAGTTCTTCACCTAATATAGAAATCAAAACGACATGATATTAGTGCTAACAATAGCCATTAACAATTATCTTCAAACTATTAAAAAGAGATACACATATATATATATATATATATATTACAAAATCATAGTCATATAAACTACTAAACTGAGAATAGCGTAAAACTTATAAAATTACCTGTTTCAGAGGCACAAAATTTATACTTGAAGGTGGCAAAGCCTGAACATGGAAAGAAAATGTACGTCAACAGTAGTATTGTCTTAGATATATGAAGTAGGATTTAGCAATCAACGAAAAAACATGAAAAATTATTTCATCGACATGCATGTTGTATCAGGGGATCTTTGCCAAAGACAGAAATTTCTGCTTTTCATTCCTAGAACTGAATGTTTCAGCAAAGGATCTATCACATGACCCCTTAAACAAAAAGGGAATGCAAAATACAAAACCATAGCAAAGGGAACATGTTACAAAAGCCCACCTCATATGTGAAAGGGGCTTGTAATGTATCCAAGTCATGAGTCCCAATGGCAACTAGGGTTCTTCGCCTATAAAATGAATATCAGATGTAAGCACTTCAACTGAATAACCACAGATATTTTGGGCTGAAAGACAAGCAGTAGCTCTTATCATAACTTCATGCATTCATTCTGATTTGTCTTGCTATTCTTACCCTTCTAGCACTTAAACAAACTATTCCCTTTTCTTTTTTCTTTTGTGTATTCTTACCTTTATCTACTTTAAATAACCATATAAATTACTTCAAATTTATTACATAGAAATATGACCACGCCACTCCAATACAACATAAAAAGACGAGAAAAAAAATTATCAAAAAAATATTTTAGAGCAACAAAATACAGATGAGGTGGGGGCAACTGGGAGCATGCCAAGCTAAATCGGGAATCAGTGCTATGAGCCAGAAAACATTACCGGCAGATATTTTGATGAAGCTTGTCTTGGAGATCAATAAAGCTGTTATAACTTCCTTCAGTGAAGGTTACGCCTCTTAAAACAGCACAGACAACATGAGGGCGAATTGAAGATGTCTGCAAGTGGAAAAGGGGTCTATATGAACTAAACAGTATCACCAGAAAATAAAAAACATCAACCCTTTTCATATCATATAACTACCTCTGGTTTTACATGCATTTTAATCATTGACTCCTTACTAACGTTCGCCAACTTATATGTAGGAATCTCCTCTTCCCTACTGAAAACACGGAGGGCTTGAGCAAGCCCTTCAAGGCAAAGTAAATCATATCTGCATATAAATCGAATAACAAAGTTGTTCAATTCATTTTATATTATGTGAAAATCATACAACAATTATTCTCATTCCTATAGTTACTCCTTGATACTCTGAACACAGCCTACTCACTTAGGCAGACGAGCAGTGTGAGATTAAAATATTTGGCCTCAAGGGTTATGTTAACATTAAAATTAGAAACCAACCCATGAAATGAAGTAGGATAAAACATTAAGTTCCAAAACATGCAATTAAGACAATTCTCAGTGCTAGTCAATTATAAGAAAAGAAAAAAAAGGTACCTATTCGCGGGAACTTCGATCTTGTAAATAACTTCTTCATCTTCCTCAACTTCAGCGTCCAAATGCTTTTCTTTTCTAATAATTGCTTTCTCAGTTGTCTACAAACACACATTAACCATTAGAAGTTTTGGCATCGGAGAAATACAAAAATAAAATGAAACATGTGGAGAATGAAAATAAATGCTTACGACGTCGTCCAGCTCGATGCCGAAGCAGAAGCATACTTCTTCAAACTCTTCCTGAGCTGTCAGATTCAATTCAAAAACACAAACGAAAGTGAATTCCTTATTGATGATATAAGTACATCGATGAGATGAAGAGTTATAAATGGAACACTGAGAGCTCACTGTAAGTTCTTCCTAGTGCTGCATACAGACGATCCCGTCCCACGCTGACGGTAGGCATGGCGGACTTTGACTACTCTCTCCGATAGCGCACGCAGAGACTGCCACCACAAGAGAGAAGCAAAACCCTACGCTCTGTTTGAACATCGGAGGGTTATTTGTTTTTTTTTTTTAATTGGGCCGAAGGTTGGGTTTGGCCCAAATAATGTGTGCATTTATAAAGCCCATCTAAGGCCCACAATTCCTTAAACCCTGGTGATAAAATGAAAAAACCCTAATGTGCAGAAGGTAGGATTGTGCGAGACTTGAGAGAGACAGAGAGAGTGAAAAATCCTGGTCTCCAGAAAGAAAGAAGAGGAAGAGAGAGATGGGAAGCGATAGCGAAGTAGAGAAGACGGCGCAAAAGGAGAGGGAGAGGAAGAAGATGCAGGCTCTTGCTCCCATAGCCAAACCCCTTGCCGGCAAGAAGCTCTGCAAGCGAACCCTCAAGCTTGTCCGCAGAGGTATATACGCCTACATACACATATACATATTATACGTGTATAAATATGTTATACATGTATGCATATGTGTGCAATCTGATGTTTTTTTTGGGTATCTTGTAGCTGCTGAGAACAAATGCTTGAAGAGAGGAGTGAAGGAGGTAGTCAAAAGCATAAGGCGAGGCCAAAAGGGGTCAGTTCTTCATCAAATTTCTTTTACTTTTGTAATTTGTGTTAGGCAATTCATTTGCTTGTCAAAAATACTGTATTGAACTGAAAGAACCCAACTTTGGATATTGTAGATACTTTGTTTTTCCTTGTATTTCTTCCCTTGTTTTATATTGAGTAATATTAGTTCTGTTTAGTCATTGAGTCCCAGATTAGGTCAGTCTATCTGAAATTATGGGTAGAGTTAGAAGAAAACATCGATTTAGTGAGACATTACTTGATAATTTCATTGAAGGCTACGTTATGAGTGTTGTGGGGAGAGTTTTGAAGTAGATTCAAATAGTGAAAAAGGGCCTTCATTTGTCAGTCTCTGTTCTATGGATCTCGTGCAATCAATGTATGCATCTGATGTCTTAATCTGTTAGCTCTACTTCCTTACATTTCTTGGATCAGATGTGGCTGGATTTATTTGTATAATTTGTGCTGGAGTGCAGGTTATGTGTTATTGCTGGGAACATTTCTCCTATTGATGTGATCACTCATGTTCCAATCTTGTGTGAAGAGGCTGAAATTCCATATCTTTATGTGCCCTCAAAAGAAGTAAGCAGCTTATAATTCAATCTTTCTTTATAAAATTATTTCACATTATACGATATATTATTCAATGCGCGAGCTTTCGCACATGTTAGCTGCTTCATTGATCAAAGTATTCACTAATATTGGTTTGTCAATGTCTTCTTCAGGATCTTGCAAATGCAGGGGCCACCAAGAGGCCAACTTGCTGTCTTCTGGTGATGACCAAGCCTTCCAAGGGGGAATTAGGCCAAGAGGAACAAGATAAACTAAAGGCAGATTATGACCAGGTTGTAGGAGATGTTTCTGAACTTCAATCCTCCCTTTTCTGAAGGCTGGAAACATTTTACTTGCCTTTGTCCTGATTATCTTATTTGAGGTTATTTTCCTTTTTTTTAATCCCTCTGACTGATGGGCCTTGTACTTTGTTTTAGAAAAAATTAAAATGTGCTTGTTTGTGTAACTATTGAAGTGGAACGTTAGGCATAATTGGTTTTCTTTATTGAACTTGAGACCCCTGTTCATCACAAGTTAGCTATGAGGTTCCAAAGGACTCTGTTCTCTCTCTCTCTCTCTCTCTCTCTCTCAGATTGCAATATGGCTTTCAGATTTGGTTGATCCATATGCAATTCATCATTTTCTATATTCTAGACTTATTTATATATTTTGACAAAAAAGAGCACTTATCTTGGAGCTATGGCTTGGATGAATTAACTCAATTTAGACCATGTGTGTTATGACCCGTGGATCAAAAGTGGGACGTACCAAATGAAACTAAAAATTGCCAGAACTTCCATTTGTAAGCGGAAATTATGTAAAATAAAACAGGTATGGAACTGGCTCATTTGGAACACTTCGACTTGTACTGCTGTGCTTTTGCAACTGTCATTTTCAACATGTATACGGTATACGAACTATTTACAACACGGCCAGACCACATTAAATTAACCCTAGAAATCTATTTGGAGCACAGGGGTTTATAATATAAACAAGGGTGTAGCAGATTTTATGCTGAAAGCCAGCTGCTTGGCATGAAATTATTTTGGGGAAGTCAGACTCCTGAAGAAGAAGAAACCTAACCCACCAATTGCCAAAGTAAGAATAACTGGGACAATTGAGTCAACATCAGTCACTCTTCCACTACTATCTGCTCTTCCTTGGCGAAGCCTTTCTCCTGAATATTCTCGCAGAAGATTGCTCAAATTGTCTATTTGGTGCATGATCTGGCGTTGGCTTCGTGTGATTGCTAGCATCTGTTGAGTTACTCCAAATAACCAAATAAGCATATCAGAAGGGAACAGAAAAGAATAAATCAATCTGTCACCACAAGTTTAGTTTTTCACAAAATCCCACCTCTTCCATCAATGGAGACTCCTTGACCAATTGTGATGACGACGAAGAATGGGGCAGTAGAGATCCTGCCAATGAGCCATTACTTAAGCCAGTTACAAAATGAGAAGTGGGTCCAGATCCAGTGCAGGCTTCAGCCTGCAAAGCCAAATTCTGCTGGCTAGCTGAAACTTTTCTGACTGAGAACTTGGAGTTGAGTTCTTCAACACGAGACGTAAACTCATCCATCCTCTCATTCAGTGTAGAAATTTGTTCTGAAAGTTGAGTTATAACCCCCTGAAATAATACAAGACAATTATTGGTAAGCAAACCAATGCAGGATGTTGAGTTTTTGCGCAGCAAGACCAAGGAATAGTTAACTCACCTGGTTTGAAAGTGCTTGAGGTGATTCCAGGGCTCTTCCATCAAACCTTCTACTGTTAACAGCAAGTCTTGTTAGCTTGGACATTGTCTTGTCCCTTTGATGTGGATCAAAAGTGGGACGTACCAAATGAAACTAAAAATTGCCAGAACTTCCATTTGTAAGCGGAAATTATGTAAAATAAAACAGGTATGGAACTGGCTCATTTGGAACACTTCGACTTGTACTGCTGTGCTTTTGCAACTGTCATTTTCAACATGTATACGGTATACGAACTATTTACAACACGGCCAGACCACATTAAATTAACCCTAGAAATCTATTTGGAGCACAGGGGTTTATAATATAAACAAGGGTGTAGCAGATTTTATGCTGAAAGCCAGCTGCTTGGCATGAAATTATTTTGGGGAAGTCAGACTCCTGAAGAAGAAGAAACCTAACCCACCAATTGCCAAAGTAAGAATAACTGGGACAATTGAGTCAACATCAGTCACTCTTCCACTACTATCTGCTCTTCCTTGGCGAAGCCTTTCTCCTGAATATTCTCGCAGAAGATTGCTCAAATTGTCTATTTGGTGCATGATCTGGCGTTGGCTTCGTGTGATTGCTAGCATCTGTTGAGTTACTCCAAATAACCAAATAAGCATATCAGAAGGGAACAGAAAAGAATAAATCAATCTGTCACCACAAGTTTAGTTTTTCACAAAATCCCACCTCTTCCATCAATGGAGACTCCTTGACCAATTGTGATGACGACGAAGAATGGGGCAGTAGAGATCCTGCCAATGAGCCATTACTTAAGCCAGTTACAAAATGAGAAGTGGGTCCAGATCCAGTGCAGGCTTCAGCCTGCAAAGCCAAATTCTGCTGGCTAGCTGAAACTTTTCTGACTGAGAACTTGGAGTTGAGTTCTTCAACACGAGACGTAAACTCATCCATCCTCTCATTCAGTGTAGAAATTTGTTCTGAAAGTTGAGTTATAACCCCCTGAAATAATACAAGACAATTATTGGTAAGCAAACCAATGCAGGATGTTGAGTTTTTGCGCAGCAAGACCAAGGAATAGTTAACTCACCTGGTTTGAAAGTGCTTGAGGTGATTCCAGGGCTCTTCCATCAAACCTTCTACTGTTAACAGCAAGTCTTGTTAGCTTGGACATTGTCTTGTCCCTTTGATTTGAGTAAGAGTGTGATGCACCGCTGCCCAGTGAAAATATGATGTTAAAAGAACCAATCAGTACATACAAGCATGATCAGCTGGATGAAAGTTTATTGGTTATGACAAACTAAACAAAATGGTTGATGATATTTGGTCACTTTTTACGGTTTTAAGATCATTTTCTCTTCTAATTGTAATACCCTTTCAAGTCCAAGAAAATAGCTGAAAATGAGTAGTACCGGTTGAGATACTTGGTTCTCCTGTCTGCTGAGGCTCGAGAAAGGGCTTCCTTTGGGCTTGAAACAAAATCATCATCTATGCTGAGCTTTGTCTTCAAATCATCTGGCAAGGCCTGTAGATTGATTGCATCAGGACCATGCAAAAACAGGACAACCCATGATCAATTGAGGAATCCATACCATGACATCATTTACAAGTTTCTCCAGCTGAATTTGTTCAATGTAAGTACGAGGAACATATGAACCGTCCAGATCGAGCTGCTCTGCGACATATTTAACATATAACCGATCCTTTCCTTGCACCTTCATACCAGTCCAGCAAGTCAGTGTTAAGAAATTCAGTATTGAATAGCATTTTCAAATGACATGAGTCAAAGGAAATGTTCACCTAAAAGAACTACAGTTAATCTACATTGATATTTCAAAACCAGTGAACTAGCCTAAAACCCAAATGTACAAATGTTACGAAAATTACAATTTGAGATCTTTACCAAAAAAATACAGCAAAAAGGAAAATACAATGAAAAATACATCTGAGATTCATTTAGGGATAAAAATATAGTCAACACACTGTTAGAAAAAAGAAAAATGTATCACAAATTCCAAAACAATCTGAAAAAGCGAATGCATAAAATGGCATGATACCTGAACATATTGGCGATTAATTTGCTCCAACCAATCAGTTTTCACACAAATCTTATCATCACAGAAGATATGGCTGCTTCTTTTCAAGATGGATGCAATTGTATACCCCAAGGCCATGAGACCTCCAAGAAGGCGCACACTAACTTCAAAAGTTATTCGAGGTGATATTATGAAGGGACTATCCGTAACCCATTCCTGAGAGAGAGAGAGAGACAGAGACAGAGACAGAGAGATAGAGACAGAGAGAGACAGAGAGACAGAGAGACAGAGATAAACTAGTCAGAGATCCTTCTCTGGGACAAGCTATGATATTTAGACATAATGATCTGCCACCAAGCACATAATAGCAGAACCCTGTACAAAATCATATAGAAATTTTCACCTGCACCCACATGTAATTAAAATACAACCATGTATGCTGGATATGACTTTCCAGACATGTAAGAATGTGCTCCCCGTCAAACTTCCCAAGTCACAATCATCAACTCTTCGCCTTAAAATGTCCATTATCCAAATGATGAGCAAGCATATCTCTAAATGGAATCAGAAATTCATTTCACTAAGTAAAATAGCAAGGTGCATGTTTGAAATGGAAAGACGCATTTAAACTGTTACTTTGATGGACTAAGGAATAATGGGTAGACCTCAAGACATCTAGAGCTCCAAACTACCCAAAATTTTCAACTCCTTAAGTATATAAAATCTTAGGGCAAGAAATAAAAAAAACTAAAATCAGTTCCATAGAGAAGAAATAAATAAAGGAAGAAAGTAGCTTTGGGTGAAGAAATATATATGTTCCCAAAAAGAGGACTAGCATGCACTCCAGCTTTCTCTTTTTAGGTCTATACCAGTTAGCCATACAACAACAGTGGCTGAGAAAGAAGAAGAGTCAAACACAAAGGGCAGGAAATTGGATAGTGATGATAATGACTATAACGAGGACAACAGGATCACACTAATGAAGAAAATGAGGTGTGGATGTCTCTCATATCTAAGCAAATCCTGAAAATAAACCTTTGTTGATTCCTTTCTTTACTATTGGCCAATGATGAAAACACCTCTGATATACATATAGGCAAGGACACTGGTAAGAACAACTCAAATGCATATATAAGCTTGAAGAATATTTAGTTTACAGATTTCAAACCTCAAACATGAGATTGTATTTGCCATCTCTGTTCCTCATCCTTAGATATGATTGACATGCTTCAGGATCTTCTCCTGGTGGTAAAAGATATATGTCATAAGTTTCTTCTCTGGTTTCTTTGTGATCATCAGAAAGAACAGCTTTGATCTGACCCACTGTCACTGCCTTAATTGACTGCAATAAGAAACAACAGCCCAGTGAAACAGTCAGAAAAAAAACAATTATGGATGACCCGAAACACAAACTGGGGAAAAAGAAAGACCAAAGCAAGGAAATTTAGTAGCCAACCTTTAAAATATATGTAGGGTTTTGAAAACCAGTGAAGGGATTGAACTTATTGGTGATTTTTATATGTGCTGTCTGTAGATCTGGCTCAATAAAGGCCTTGTACATAGGATACACCTGTCTCAAAATTCTGGATGAGAACCACCATAAATCTTTTGTATGCCCAATAATTACATGTTACAAAGGCTGCTCTGCAAAAGTTCCAAAGGCAAAAAAAAATTCTAACACAGGATAAAGGGTTAACCGTTTCAGAAATTTGATGGATAATTTCTGCAGGCTCTTGGCCGGCACGTTGAATGTCCCGTAACACCCGTTTGACAAGGTCAAAGTGAACTCCACCAGTTATAGACACACGGAGATCTAACAAAGGCCGCAATCTCTCACTTAAGGCATATATACCCTCAATGAGCACAATACGGGAGCTAGGGACCTCTACCGTCCTGTTAGAAGCACCAAAATGACCATGAGTATACAACAGAATTAGAACACTATAAAAGCTATTATGTTATTTAAAAGGTATACCAAAGAAGGCCAGACATAATGAGCCTCCTTTAGTAATTACATTAAATCATCCCATCAAGAATCACAGAAACCAGTCAACACCAGAATTTTGGGCCTTTTTTTTTTCTCAATTCAAATGGAATTAGGATTGATCGCAAGTTAATGTGGCAAAGGATTTTCCACATGATGCAGAGATGCACTACCTGTAACCTATGCGAGAGCTAGACTTGAAATCATATACTGGAACTTCAACAGGATTGCCTGCTTTTAAACCATGTATGTTTTCAAGCATTGTGTCATAATCTGTCAGGCGTGGATCTGTTTCAAGACATTACAACAATTAGAGTTCAACCGTGAGTGCTCTGATGTATAATCACTTATTGCAATGATTGAACAATAGATCCAGAGACGCCAGTGGAGGAAGACAACAGAAGTACATTTTCAGGAAAACTATAAACAAGGAAGTGAACAATCTTGGAAAAGGTAATGAACATAATGACTAAAAAAGAAAAAAAAATCACTGAAAAGATGTGAAATTAATAACATGTGAACTTACCAGTGGATCCAATCCAAGTGGGAGTGGTTACCTATTAGCATACTCTAGCAAAAAGGGGCTGCATGCTTATACAACTCGAAACAAAGGGATGCTTTATGTACTCAGACCTCCTAAATTCATTTATATCTATGACAATGGACTCAAAAGAGTGAAGATATTCTAATTGGGATATGGGAAAGACAAAAGTTTCAAAATAGGCTTCAATTAACTCACCTCCGGGAATAAATTCAATAGGGACATTTTTATATTTTTGAACACCCCCACACTATGCTTAGCACAGCATGCTGGTATTCCACATCTGGCACTCCATGCACCCGCTAAAATTGGAATTTCACTAGGACTCTGGAAAACCTATACATTTATCTTCAATTTCTCACAAGTCTCTTTATACCATGGTCTCCGCCAAACCTCCATACTTAGATGGGATTCCCTAAGAGTGAATGGTAACTCTTACCCTAAATTCTTAAGCATGTACTATGCCGTAATATGCCAATGGTATCACTCCAAGGTATTTGAGAAAAAAGTAACAATAATCACAGAACAAAGAAAGAAGCTGAAGGCTGAATGCAAAAGGCAAACACTCTAGCATCATTGTAGTTAGAGGAAAATGAGATCCTTTACCGTCAAAGTTGCCATCAATGATACGACTAGCATCATTGTAGTTGTCCATTGAAATAACAGCAATGCTGGGCATAAAGTTGAGTACTTTCTCCGTGAAAACAGTCTTACCAGCTCCAGAGGGACCTGCTACTCCAACCAGTATTATCCCATCATTCTTTTGAGCCAACAGCTGGCATGCCCGGATAACTATAAAGAAACCTTTTTCAAATGACAGTATATCTTGAATTGGGACAATCTCATATCGATCACAGTCCTTTCTTTTAACAAGTTGGACCTGATCTCGCAAAAGACCAGAGCGCGGCCTCGGTGATTCAGCACCAGAAGTTGTATCTTGAGCCATTTAGAGCTTAAAAATCTATATTATTCCCTATTAGCTGCATAAACAAATAGCAATGGCAACACTTCAATTGTGCTTATGTAAAGAAGAATCAAACAGGAAAGAAATTGCAGAACTTTGAACTCTGTAATTCTTTATAATGCTAAGAGGCAAATGTCCATTCTTTATACCGTTAAGTTAATAATTCACGATTCATTGATATTTACAAATTAACATTGATTCAAGAACTCCTTCCCAACCGCCAAAAGTAAAGAAATATAAAAAGGAAGTGAAAATTTAAGGACCAACAAGTACCACTCCGACAATAGTATATGAAATCATCAGGAGACAGTGACCCAGAAATTTAAATCACATCAAAGTTGAAGAATGCATGAAAAATTTGTTAGATTGATTGGTTCAGACAGAGTGACCACACCTTTTTCAAGACAGAAATGGAAATCACAGCTGCAACTCTTTCTCTGAATTCTTGGAGTTTCTTGGAGACATATTGGCTGGTAGCGGATTCTGGGAAATTTTGTCGCTTTCTATGTAATTCTTGTTATCTTGTGTGTAAGGTCGAAGAAACGAGATGACACTTGGTTAAGTCTGAGAGATACGCGCGAGAAAATATCAGATGCAAAAATTTATGGCATAAAACTGGCTGTAGCTGTGTAATATATATTTCTTTTCTTTTCTTCTGACAATACCGAGAGGAATTTATAGTCTTGGATTTGTTTAAAGATGGAACTTTGCACTGCCCTGAAGGGGCCACCGTTGATTTGGACTCAACTAATACAAGTTGGAATAACTTCTCCTTTTTTCACAAATCTGGAATTTTCCTTTCTTTTTCTTGGCTAAAAAGTATGTGGCAGATGGTATAACAGCTTTAGATGCGGAAACCATTTGATCGAAAGCTCTAGTTTCCTCTTCAAGGAAGGTAGGGGAAGAGGCAAACCTCATTTTCCTTGTCACATCAACATTTTTATGCTTTAAAGGAAGAGATAAATGGATGGACAAAATACACCTATTCTTTCCAGGGACATTTTGGTAAAAGCAAAAGGAGAGAGAAAAATTTTAAAAAAAGCAAAAATGGACAAAAATGCCCTTATTTATTTTTAGATTTCCTAAGGAATCCAATACATTTGCATGTCTTTGATTTGAAAGTTGAGTGGTTTTTTTGTCATTTTTAAAAAAGCTTTGACTTTTTCCAAAAGTGAAAAAAAATTTATGTCTAAAACCTAAAAAACCTTTCTTTTCCAACAGGTTAATATTGCATACTTCAAAGTGAAAGGGTATATTGAACCCACTTGCTTTTTATAATAAAATATCATCTCAACTCTCTCATCTACTTTCTATAAAATATAATTATAATTGTAAAAAATAAAAGATACAAGTAAATAATAATGATTTGTGCACTTGTATTGTCTAATCTCTTAGAGTGATTAACTTTTTTCATGAGACAAATAGGTAGGCAACTTCCTTGGAGAGGCTCTTAGTTAAGCCAATGATACACCTTAAAATCACCAATTCATCGACGAAACAATATAGAAGTTTGTGTGTTATCATCGACCATTTGATTAACGTCTCACATAAGGCAAGTTCCTTTTTGGAAAAAAATTTAAAGGTATAGACGACATTATGGCCATTTGCCGATCACATTAAAAAGGTTTCATCTTTTAATGACAATGGTGTAAATAAATTTTGTTCATAGTGAAACATGTCGTATGTCTTTTACTTGGTAAATAGCCTTATCTTACATGTCTCGAGAACTGAAAAATTGTCTTTTAACCTTGGGCTTCATAACTACAAGTATGCTCCTGTCTCCCTCTCAAGCATGTTGCTGGATGATGATCTAGGATGAGCCCAAAGTAGGGCTTCGCCTTATTAGTTTTTTCTTTTTCTTTTTCGGCCTGCCTTGTAACCCCCAAAAAAAAATTTAACAAGAAGTTCACATGGATTTATTTAGCCTTTTTTAGCTAGAGCCTGGACCAGTGCAGATCAAACAGTGGCTCACCTAGCGTGTATAAGTTGCGTAGAAAACCCAATTTGGTCATGGACATGGCAGCCTTGGAGTTGGGTGTCTCCACTCTCATCATGCTTTGTTCTTTGCTATAAACAGAAAACAGAATAGCAGACTGAGACACCATTTCAAGTTTTCCTTTTAATATTGTTTCTAATTTTATAGAATTATTATTTTTTTCTTGTTTGATACATAGCGTGAAGATTGAATTAACATTGATAATATAATTTTTTTTTTCCTGTTTAATCTTTATACAAAAATTACGGTATCAACAGTGGCGAAACCAGAATTTTATGTGTGTGGGGGCCTCTTACAGATTATAAAGAATCAAATGTTCGAACTCACAATACATACGAAAAATATATCACATGTGTCAAGAATTATATTGTTTATTGGTTACAATCATAATTGTCCTCGATAAAGGGATAGACAAATACATTTTAAGCAAGAACATTTGTAAGAGATAGACAAAGAGTAGCGATTTAGCAAATATCTTTAAAGCTATTTCCCCCATTAAATCCAATAGAAGGAAAAAAAATCAAAATTTCACAAACTAAAAAAAAACCTTAGGTCCCTTCATGCATTCATATCACACATGAAAAAATATTTTATGTAAAAATTTTGACTAAGTATGAAAAATGGTTTTTCGAAATAATCATTTTCTCAAGATAATTTTTTGCGGCTTTTATTCCTTACACATCAAATAAGAAAACTTGATTTTATGGGATTTTAGTATAAAGTATATATTGACTTAATGAGTCATCATTTTTAGCATAAATCGTATTTTGCACTAAAACCAATTTTTCATATTTTGATTTAGTGGGAATTTGATTTCTCTAATATTTTTATTTGAATCCAAATAGGGGGTACTTTCTTATTTACATTGTAAACTTAAGTAAATGAAGTAATATAAAAATAAATGAAAATAAAAGGACAAAGACATTTACTTAAATGGTGAAAATGGAAATAAGGTAATATGTACACCTGGAGTGCACCATCACCAACTGAGCAAATGGGCAATTTGAAGCACCTCATTGTGTCTTAATAGATTCGCCACAACACATGTGAATACATATCAAAACATAAAATATTTAAAATAATATACATATAAAAATACATAACAGTATATTACTTTTAAAATATATAAAAACTTGAGTGGGCCGGGACCACACTGGTCACAGTGTGACTTCGCACCTGGGTATCAATGATGCGATAAGTTGGAGCCCTGACAAACGCAGCCAACATACTTTATATATATGAAGAGTTTTAGCTCCCTCTTGTTTCTGTGTACCAACTGTTGAGGCAGTGTTCAGAGGGTCTCAATTCATCTTCGACCAAACAAAATCTACCAAAGCTAGTTCTAACTTTCAAGTCTTAGTTCTTTCTTGTCAAAGAGAGAAAGAGGGCAGGCTAGCTATGAATATGGAAGGCACGCCGGCTCTCCATGGATACTACATGCCTGCAGAGTGGGAACCCCATTCACAGTGTTGGATTGGATGGCCTGTAAGTAATCCTTCTCTTTGATTTATCTCACGTCACGTGCCTTACTGGGTTTCAACATTTTTCATGTTTATGGGGAAGAATTCTGTTGTTCAGGCTGACGGGTCTTTGAGAATCTTGTGTTTTCAAATACCTTTTCTTTTTGTTATTGCTAAGTTTCATGTGGAGCCCTGCCAATTCGATTGATATGTCCTCTTGTTATTGCTAAGTTGATGCATTTGTGAAATTATGAGTTACAAGTTATTTGGAACAGTCAGGTTTTTAGTACAGATTTTGCCTGCTTTGACATCATATCAGATAACTGATGCCTGAAAGCTATTAGAGCATATTGAGATATGTTTCTGCATTTTCTATGTAATTCTAAATTCTGCATCTTTCTGCAATTTAAAGTATTATACGTGCATCTAGTGATCTATGCTGTATATCAGATGTCCTTACAATTTTATGCTAGTTTCTCTTATATTGGTGTCACTCTCATTATTTATGTAGTAGATCGATTAATTTTATTTCTATCTTTTCTAGTCATCTCTTATCATCAATCTTAACATTCTCATTTCCTTGATGCATTGATCTTACTTTTGTTTTAATCCCAACATTCAATCTTAGTTGAGTCTATTTTGACAATAAATCTTCATTTTGAGTTATAGGAACGCCCAGATAACTGGAGAGACAATGCAGTGCCTGCTCAACAGGTGTTTGCCAAGGTCGCATCTGCAATCTCAAAGTTTGAGCATGTGACTGTCTGCGCAAGTGCCGCTCAGGTTGGTATAATTTGTAAGAGATGAAAGTCTTTAGTATCTCTATTAGTCTTTTATATTATTCTCATATGAGATTTGATTTCGAATGTTTGCACTCAGTGGGCAAATGCACGAAGTCAGCTACCAGAAAATATCAGGGTTATCGAGATGAGCTTGAATGATTCTTGGTTCCGTGATACAGGGCCAACAGTGAGCTTCTTCCTTTGACTCATCTTAGAAATTCTGATCAGATATTCATTAGTAGGATACTAAGATTTTTATGTTAACCTTTAAAGCTGTTTTCTTTTCTTCTTACAGTGTTAATATTTGTCTTCTGTTTAGTTTGTCATAGGAATAAGTGCATCCTCTTCTTCTACCCCAGAGCCAAAGGTTGCTGGTATTGATTGGAACTTTAACAGTTGGGGAGGTAGGGTTTATAGTTATTCAAAGCTGGTGCCTTTTATGAAATGGTACTGTTTTCTATGGATGCCATTGTATAATCCATCTTTCACGCAATGGAACACTAGAATCTTTTTTTTGAACAATACAAAATACTGTTAGAAACTTTGATGCTTTAAGAGTATAATTTCATGATTTAAATGTTTACTCATCAGTGCATTTTACATGGACCCATTCTTGGAATTGATAGGCATTGATGATGGTTGTTACCGAGACTGGAGTCATGACCTTCTTGTGGCACAGAAGGTTAGAGTAACTGAATAGATCGTAGTTTGATTATACATGATCTGCAGCTTTGCTTTTTTGAAACGCTGCTTAATGGTTTTCCTAACACTCATAATCTGCAGATCCTGGCAGTTGAGAAGCTTCCAAGGTTTCCACACTCAATGATTCTCGAAGGTGGAAGCATCCATGTAGATGGAGAAGGTAACAAAATTTTAGACTTATCATTTAGCATTAGGAAAGTTCTTACCTCTTTCTTTGAAGCAAATATTAAGTTAGAATTGGCTTTCACCGGCAACAGAATTCCTTCTGGATGCCAAACCAGTTCATGCCTTAAAATTGTTTTAAATCATAAACATATGTGATACTCTGGTCGTGGTAGTGATCCGTTTTTTCTTGAATTATGTGCCAAAACCTGTGCTTTTGATACTATAGACTTTACCTTGTATCTCTTTCTTTTTCATGTTTCTTTCCTTTACAAAATGAATTGGCGATGCCTGGTTATGATGTATTGGAAGTTGCACTACCGTGTGCCCCATCTTGTGCAAGTTCAGAACCTTGCATATTTTTTCTTTTCAGCACAAAAATTACCATTAAAAAACTCATTCCCTCTGTCAGTATAGTAGTTATCTTTATGATTTAACCAGAACTTACTTTCTTCCTACAGGGACTTGCCTCACCACCAAGGAGTGCCTCTTAAATAAAAACAGGAACCCAGATTTGACCAAGGAGCAAATAGAGGATCAACTTAAGGCATACCTTGGAGTGAGGAAAGTTATTTGGTTGCCTCGTGGATTATATGGTAAGATGTCTGCTTGGTTACTAACTCACTATCTTACATGATACTAGTTTAATTTTCCTTCACAATGAGATGCTCTGTGCTCTTTTTTTCCCTTGCGATGATTTACATTACGTGGTCTGGCTGCATGTGCATATAATCGATAAAGCTCAGGTATTTTAATTAAAACCTAAACTACCTACAAAAATGCTTGACAGGAGACGATGACACTAATGGTCACATCGACAATATGTGCTGTTTTGTGAAGCCTGGTGTGGTTTTGTTGTCCTGGACTGATGATGAAAAGGATCCTCAGTATGAAAGAGCTGTGGAAGCCTTTTCTGTTCTATCTAATACTACTGATGCCAATGGTAGGAAATTAGAAATAATTAAACTTCATGTACCTGGGCCACTGTACATGACAGATGAAGAGGCTACTGGAATTTTTCAGGTACTACAAACTAGGGTTCAACTTTCATGAAGTATCAACTAACTCTCTCAAATGTCCTGGACTTTTTTTTTCTTTTACATGCCACTGCTGTCCATATTTATCTAGATGGCATATCCCAAATTAAAAATGCAAAACAGTCACAGGCCTTTTCCTTAATGCCCTTGTTTGTCCAGTTGACCTCTTCCTTCCAATGCTTGATAAAGTGTTTCATTCTTTTTGTTTAATTAATAGTTTTTGCCTCTATTTTTTTCTGGCACTCTATGTTTTCATCTTAGAAATCAGCACTTCCCAGAGAAACGCAGAAAGTTAAATGCATTCATTTTACCTTTTTCTGTCTTTACACATAATTGAGTAACCATATATTTCTCCTTGGACGTTGACAGTGGGGATTGATAAGAGTTTTAATTCCTTACTCCTCATTTCAATATATCATGCTATTGAAACTCAGCTCTACATAGACTAGTTACCCCTTTTATTTTGTAATATTTCAAACGAATTGAATTTCAAAATGTTATGGTGCATTGTTTTATTCCTGGTGTTCAATGTTTCTTCTATAGGAGGACTGTGAAGCTAAACCGAGACTTCCAGGCACGAGACTTGCTGCTTCATATGTAAATTTCTACATTGCCAATGGAGCAATCATTGCACCCCAATTTGGGGACCAGAAATGGGATGATGAGGCTGTTCGTGTCCTATCTCAAGCCTTTCCAAACCATGAAGTAAGCTTTTGCTTTTTCTCCAGCATCTTCATATATAATTACGTGCAGGTGGTGAATTTGAGAAGAATGGTTTGCTGTAGGTTAATATATAATTGTATACCAAGTTCAGTGGTCCAAAAATTTGAACTTATTGGAGCTGCAGATTATAAAGCCTCATCCTTTGAAAGTAAATATAATAGGATACAGAGCGGTCTCTTTTGAAATGCAATGGGAAACAAACAAGACTGGTTTCATATAATGTGCAGATTAAAAAGGATTCATTTTCTTCTATCTTTATTGAATGTTCATTTCTGCTATGTGTTTCTGTTGCTGAACAAGCCTGTTCTAATGTTGGTATGACTTGGGTTGTCTCAGGTGGTAAGAATTGAAGGTGCAAGGGAGATTGTTCTAGCGGGGGGAAATATACATTGCATCACTCAGCAACAACCACGCATTCCACACAGTATCGTCAACCACGATTGATTTCATACATACATCGTCAGTGCAGACAGAGCATTTGTGTGGGATTAAGCTAAAAGATGAATCACATAGCTTGATTTATCAGTTACATTTGTTTCAGGTCCATAAGATGGTGGGAGACAAGCTTAAGCTTCTCCAATTTGTACTATTATAGAATATTGATTGACACAAATACAGACGATGGCTTGTAAGCCTCCAGAACCAGATTATAGTTCTGACTATGTGAAGTTGCATAAGTGTACCAAATTATAGTTTGGCCAACTCAGGTTTCAGCGGCAGATCAGTTTTTCTTTTTAACTGGATTTACCAATGATGACATCTTAGAAATGTTAGCAACATTTGTTTGGCTAGACAAGTTTTCTTGACCAAAAGAAAAAATGGCTGTGCAAATTTGAGAACATATATGTAGTCCAAATTTTAACTTTGAGTAGTGGGTTGACTAATTTGATCGTGCACCATGCATCTAGGGAGCCCACCCCCGACTCCTAAGTTTTAAATGCTGTGATACCAAACTCTCGACATACAACTGATGCAATTTCCCAAGAGAAACAGGATCTGGTGAAAAAAGGAAACAAATAAATACAATTGACTATTTTAACTAGGCTTAATTATGTACATGCCCCCTGTGCTTTCCAACTTATCTCAGATTACCACCTGTGGTGGAAAACGTCTCAAAGTACCCCCCAACGTGCAAAAAACTGTCTCACGTTACCCTTTCCGTCAGTTTTTTTGAAGTTCCGTTACGAA